GGCGTTTAAGTTTCATTATTCAGGAGCTACGATACTGACATACAGATAGAAATTTTCTTTTATTATAAATTACCACTTACAGAGCAATTGGCTAGTATCCAGCCTTTATGCTTTCCATTATTTGTACAAGTAATGGCTAAAAATGAAATCTAAAAATGCAGAGAGCTGCCTGGAACTATGGCTATGGTCTTTCCTTACAGCTTTTTGAAAACAATGCATTTTTTACCTTTATTCAAACGTACTTCACATTCTTGCAACATAGTATGAGAGAAGATCTTACTCCATCATTTTCTTCCGCATACTGAAGCAATTTGGTATCCTGAAATGAAAAGGGCAATAAAGGTCAAAACTTATTGTAAAAAACTAGATCCACTTTGTCTTTTCAGTTTTCTCTATGAATATGTCTTCAGTCATTGCCTACATTTTGTTTAGTAAAAGTACAATTAGAGGTTATAGGGATTAAGTTTGATAAAATCCATCCAATTCTTCATAAAGCTGCTGGAACAAAAGGAGGAAGAAAAACCACATCACAGCCCAAGAATGAAGATTAGACTTTGATTAATAATCACATGGCCCCATGTATGTCTTCTGGAGGATAAAAAACTGATGAAAGACCACCGCAGAACATTTTCGGATGTATTAAGATTCTACTTCTGCCCATATGTTCAAGCACAACATGGCATGAAGGAACATCTTTGTACTGAGCAAGACTGAAGGTCTTTTGAGGCACGGCATCAGTCACCTAGCTCAGCATGGACTGTGTTGGGAGCGAGAAGGGTGGCTGCTTTAGGCACTCGTTCTCAAGGGCTGCTGGCTGCAGTTCAGAAGATTCAGAATTGGAATGTGAAGCAGATCAAAGGGGAGCTGGGCCATGTCGAGCTACTGAGATGAGGGAGGCAGGCGTGCTTATCTCAAGGCCAGATGCTTCTGGCAGACAGGCAATTCCTGGGAATAACCAAAATGTACAATTGGTGGGAGGGGACTCGGAGGAGGGGTGTTCTTCAGACGTGGGCCAGGTAGCCCTGACTCTTGACTGCATGACACGGTGTCAGTAGAGGAAGATGGCTCAGTTGTAGGATTGGCACACAGCAAGGAGGCGTGCTTGCTTTCAGAAGGACTTCCGAAGGGATGGGGGCCAGGCATGCTCCTAAGGAGAGTTCCTGGAGGCAGTTGCTCGATTGGGTTCAACAAACCACCCTGTGCATGCTCAGATACTCGTTCTGGGTGTTTGGTGCTTTTGCTCAATGAAGAATGCTTCGCAAGAAAATGGTCTGTGCCTTTTGAATGCTCAAAGGAGGAACCTTGGCTCATGGCACCCTGTTTACCAGTACTGTCATCTGTTCCTGATAATCGAATTGAAGAGCCGGGGCCTGTATCTGGGTCTTCAGAAGCTTTTTATTTGGTAATTCCAGGATTGTAATTGGGATCTTGTACAAGCAACGGCTGCACTTACTGACTTTGGGTATGCCCGGAAATGGTATAAGACCACATGTAAATGTGATACTGGAAAAGGAAGAAATCGCACCTGTGCAATATTTGGGGTACTTTTCCCTCACACAGCACTACTGGCACACCAACTACTCACAGCCTGGACCGCTGCAGCAGTCACGTGTTGTTGTTATGTGCATGTCAATTGCATGTCCAGTTTTAATGATACGTTAGGCATGTGCATGGCAGCACGGGTAAGTTCTTGATGACCACACACCGACCGCACACCAACAGAGTCCCCAGCGCTTTTCTTGAACTACATCTCCCAAAATGCATTTCTCAGGGGATAGCATGACCTTGTAACCAGTTGAAACGGCTAGCAGGATGGATGGTGCTGACGCTGCAGCTAAGCTGCACAGCTGTTGTGCATCTGTGTATGCATGCTTATGTGCACTTATGTGTGTGTATGTGTGCGGACCTATGTGTGCCATTGAAGAATAGTGAGGCAGTATTTCTTAGAGGCTGAGTGCTATAAAATGCTTCGGTACCCTATAGACTGAGAAGTAGCCATAAAAAAATACCGTGCAGTTTCATGTTTCTAGCCTCTTAGTAATTCCTTGTCACATCTACTTAATTTTATTGGGCATCAAATATGAATGTTTGGTGCTGCGGGTGGAATGGAGTTCTCAAAGGAAAATCTAAATGTTGCAAGAAATGGTGGTTTGTAAGGAATTGCTGAACAAATGACCAATTTCAACAAGCTTTAAAAATCCCAAGGAAGGTTGCTACTGGAAGGTCTGGCCTTTTGGAGTAGTGTTAAGATAGTCACTTGCTGTGCTCATTAAGCTATTATTGCTCATTAAGTAACTGATAGTGCTTAAGAGAATTGGTGAATATTCCAACACAGTTCTAGATAGGCTGTTACATTTCTTCTCTCAGGATTTTGGATGTTATTTCTGTAGAATATTATAATAACCGTTTTTCCTATCCTTTACTCTTTTCTTGAAATACTAAGACTGGAATAAAACATTGGCTCAACTTTGGACAATAGTGTCCCATGTGTGTTGATTTGGGGAGCAAGATCACCTTTGTCTTCCCTGCAGCACACAAGACGAGCCTTCTCTAACCTGTCACCCTCCAGGTGTCTTTGACTACAACTTCCATTTGCCCCAGCTAGCACAGGCAATGCTTGGGAATGATGGGAGTGGTAGTCCAAACCCTTTGGACATCTTGATGTGTAAAGTCCAAACCTCAAACTCTGTGCTAATGATCACCAAATTCTGGTGATCAATCTACACTATTTGGACTTTTGTGCCATTTGGATTTTATACATACGGATCTTGTGAGCTATTAAACTCACAAGTGTGAACGTGATAGCAGGTGAGGTGGAACAGAAGATATCTCATAAGCAGAAGGTCCCTCCCAGGCCCACCCCCTTGACAGGTATGCAGAAGACAATCTGTCACAAGCAGAGATTCCTCCTTCCAGCAAAAAGCCACAGGCTGTTTTCCCAGTGAAATGTTCTTTATTGCTCCCAAGTACAAATCTCTAAGCATGCACAGAACAGTTTGTTGAATCCAATCTAGTATTTACCTCCAGGAACTCTCCAAATGAGCATGCCTGGGCCCCATCCCTTTGGGAGGGGCTTTCTGAAAATGAACACTCCTCCTCTCCACATGCCAGTCATTTCATCAGGCTGCCTACCTCTGCTGACACCTTGCCAAGGGGCCAAGAGCAGGGGGAGCCTGGTCTCCATCTGAGAACTCACTCCCAGCGTCCCCTCCTGCTAGCTGTACTTCTTGATTATTCCCAGAAGCTGCCTGCCCCACTGAATAATCTGCCCTCGAGATAAGCACGTCTGCCTCTTTCATCTCAGTGTCTTGGCTTGGCCCATCCTCCCCAGCTCCCCTTTGATCTGCTTCATATTCCGATTCTGAATCTTCTGAACAGCAGCCAGCAGTCCCTGAGAACGAGTGCCCAAAGCAGGCAGCCATCCTCCTCGCTCCCAACACAGTCCATGCTGAGCTAGATGACGAATGCCATGTCTCAAAATATCAATTCAGTACGTCCAGCTGTGCAACATGATGATGTCAGGGCATGGTCACAGTGCCTAAATGCTAGCATGTGGTAAAATGTAATATGGAATAATGTCTACTTTGGCTTTTAATTTGCTGTGCCTTTCACCGAAGAATGCAAGTTTTTGCGGGGACATATTAATTGTGCATGTAGTCCTTCTGCAATGACAGTTTCCCTGAGATATTCTTCTCGGTTTCTTTGTAAGTACCACTGAATGCCAATATCCAATATTGAAAGTAAGACATCTAATCTTCTGGTTAACTTAATCATGTTATAACTACATTAAAATATTATAGGAGTGGACAGATGTCTTTATGTTTTGGACTTCTAGCTCTCAGCATTCCTGACCTTCGCCTGGCCTAGGAGGGGTATATTAGAGCAGAAATGGGTAGATCAACTTTCTAGCCACTCCTGTCATATAGTATAATGAAACAGGGTGTTGAAAAAGTACCTCACCCTTTCCCATGGGAAATTAAAAGTATTATGTCCACTCCTGCTGCAAGTATAAATGGCCATTTTGGAGTGCACAACGCCTTGGGAAGGATGCATGGGCTCAAATTGCCACTTTATAGGGATCCTCTATGAGTGGAGCTACTGTAGCTCCAGCCATATAATCACTCAGTTTGGATGGAATTTGTTGTATAAGAGGGAGAGAGTTGTTTGGGGAGACAGATTCCTGCCACATTTGGCAAATGCACCCACGGTCTTGTCTTAGCACAGCCATGGCTATCTCGGGGGCAAATTATGGGAGCTGCAATGTGAAACATCTGGAGGACTTGCGGTTGGGAAAGGCTAGGCTAGAATGATTCCACAAAACCAGCCAGAGGCTACTCTGTCTCTGGGTTAGATGGAGGAACATCAGGTGGTAGGCTTTCCCTTTTTCTTGGAAAGGTCTCTGCCATTTCAAACAGCAACTAATGTATTTTCCTACTAACACCAGCAGTTACTTTTGTAATGTTTATTCATCCAGTTCAATGACAGTTAGACTGCTGCTGCTTTGATTCGCTCTCAAGGATCTGTAAGGCTCACTTGATGAACTTTGGAAAGACCATCTGGCCTGTTTCTTCCCATTTCTTTCCCCAGGGTTGTCTGTTTGGTCTGCTTTAAGCATTCCATAGAAGGTGAGAGCCGCACGCTTGCTCATAAACGCCACTGCAAATGTACCTTTAGTTTGGGAATGCCATTTTGATTTCCTGGTAGGGCACCCCCAACCAAAACCGCAATGTGTGGTATAGATTCTGACACTGTTTTAAACCGTGATCTGCCGTTATGTTTGAATGCAGCGTATATACAAAGTGCCTAGGAGCTGTACACAGCTGCTACATAACTATCTTAAAATGGATTGCTAAAGAACCAAAATAATAGAATATGAGCATTCAGACATGCCAGAGATATGAAAAAGTATAGATATTGTTACCTTAGAATCAAATCTTTGATCTTTCCTGAATCTGGCATTATTTTGCACTCATGTGTCTCTAATTACCATTTTGTTGCAGAAACAGGAACACAGAGAAGTTCTAGTCGGCTTGTTGTTCCTGGTTTTCCCCTTCATACCGGCTAGCAACCTCTTCTTCAGGGTGGGATTTGTGGTGGCAGAACGTGTCCTGTATATGCCCAGGTAACTTTCACACCTTTAATTCTTTTTGCAATGAGACTCTCAGTCATCTTTTTTCATTCAATTTTTGGCCACTTTTGATTTCCTCAAGTGAATATTCACAAGTATTTAGAATGTTCATTTCAGAATATGATAAGATCTGTCAATCAGTCTTTCATTCGCTGCATTTGTTTACCTCCAATTAGCAAAGCTCTCTGTACAGTTTTGAGTTCTGGAGAGACTCTGGGTATAATCTTCCCCAACTTGCATCCCTTCAGATATTTTGGCCCACAACTTCCACCTTCTCTAGCCAAATGGCCAGTGATCAGAGGTTGGTGGAAGTTGCAATCCAAAACATTTGGTGCATACCATATGTAGAGGAGGGATGTACTAGTTCAACCTTCCCCACCCTTGTACCTTCCAGACACGTTTGGACTGCAACACCCAGAATTCCCAGTCAGGGGCCCTTCTGGATGGGAATTCTGGGAGTTGCAGTCCAAATGCTTCCAAAGGCTGCTAAGTTGGGGAAGGCTGCACTCGTTGATAGAATTGTTGAACTAGCTATATGCAGTGATCCATGTAATGCACATGTTACTTCTTTGCTCATATTCATGGCTTGCTGTTCACTAAGCACTAAAAACAGTACAGATGAAATGTGGAGGATTTAGTACTTAAGTCTATGCAAGAACTTTTACTGAAACAGGTGCTATGTTGGCAGTGATTCTCAAAACACCATGGTTACATTTTGACAGGTTGCAGAAGCTAAATACCCTGATGGAATAAGCTTCCATACTATCAAGCTTTGGAATAAAGCTTTACGATATAAATCATAAATACAAGACCGTATTTTGCGGTAATTAGATTTGCCTCTCTAAAATTGGATACTTCACACTCTGGACAAATGATCCGCACCGTTCCTACCTTACCCCAGTGCAATTTAGGTGTACATAGTAATCCCACCAGATTCACAACTCAAACAACATTTAGAAAGAACTATTTGTGGCTATTCTGCTGCTTGTGATTCACACTATTCTACATGAGACATTTATTGTGTGTGTGTCTCATGCACGAAAGTTTGTGGAGCTTTTTCACAACCTTGTCATCCTCAGGGCTGCTTCTGAGGTTCCTGGACATTTTCATGAAATGGTTTTTTTTAAGAGTGAGAAGAGTTTGATATTTTCCTAGATGGTGCCATTATTCACTACAGACATCTGTGTATTTTCTCAATTCCACTTAATTCCTTGTGTTGTGTAATGGAGCGTATAAAACATTTAGAAAGGCAGAGAGGAATAAGCCCAACAGGCGGGGGAAGTTATGTGAAGGATATTCCAGTTCTCCTGTAAAGAAAATGGAAGATGTAGTCTTGGTAAAGCACCAGGTTAAATGAAGTGCAAACCTTTTTTCTTAGTTGCTGGAGCATCTCAATTCTCATCTAGGTTTCTGACTTGAGCTTATTTTGGGTGTATTCGTAGAGAAACCAACTTTGTGATTTAGAATGATTTTCATTGCATTGGGGGTGAATTTATGCAATGGTATTCTTTTTCAAAAGTCATTGGAAGCCCCCTCCATTGCCCTGATTCCATTTAGATTCATAGGGGATAGAAGATCCCCCATGGATAGAAGATATTTGATAGATTCATACTGTTTCTTAGTTCTGCAAAATGAATTAATGGAACTGAACCACAGACATGAAATGTATCCTGCCATTCTTCCATTCCTGCTGAGAATCGGTTTAGTGAGATCTAAGATTTTAATTAATAAGTCAGACAGTTTGTTGGGTAGACATCTAGGGATACTGTTAAAAAAATAAGCAGCATGCATAAAAATTTTATCCTGTTAGAGCAGCATTCTTCAACATCAGTACTTTCAGGGAACTACATCAATTTGTCTGGTAAGGAATCCCTGAGCTTGTGTAATGGAAAGCCAGTGTATTAAAGAGGATCTGGGACACATTCCAGAATCAGTGCATGTGGGGCACTGGCTAAGCCAGCCTTTCCCAATCTGGTATCATCCCCATATCATGCATTGTGACTTTCATAATTCCCAGATAGCATAGCCAATTATTGTGCTGGCTGATTGGGAATTATATGGGTTGCAGTCCAAAGGAGTTGGAGGAAGCTGCTCGAACATCAGAGATGGCATCCATCTAGTTCCGCGTTCTGTCTACACAGTTGCCAGCCAGCTCCCATGGGAAATTCCTAAGTCAGGTATGATGATGACGGCACCCTCCCATCTGTGTTCAGCAGCAACTGGTGGACGTAGGTACAGTGCTTCTGCTGCTGGGGGTGGCCCAGAGCCATTAGGACTGGTAGTCATGGATAGCCGTGCCCTTCATGAATTCGTCTGTCCTCCTTTAAAGCCATCCATATTCTCGTGGATGTGAATTCCATAGTTTGGCTGTGGAAGAAATATTTATTTTTATCTATTCTGAATCTCCTACCAGTCAGCTTCGTGGGATGATTTCAGTTTCAAGTATGATGAGAGTAGGAGGAAAATGTCTCCTGATCTGGTTATTCCACACCATGTTTAATTTCATGCAACTCTGGCTTGCCTTGCTCACATTTTTACCAAGCAGAACATTCCTAGATGTTGTAAGCTTTGCTCAGGCTGGGAGCAGTACCATTTGGGCTTCCGTGCTGAACTTCATGAAGTGAAAGTGAGATCTAAAACCCACCCAATAGCCTCCTACAATTGCACATAATAGGGGAGGCTGATAATAATGGACACTGGTCAGGCTCTTTTCCAAGAAACTGCCGTTTCTGATCTTCTAACTTCTTAGAAGGTAGAGCTTTGGGCTTCCAAGAAACTGAAGAGTTCTTAGCACACAGCTTGAAAACCCCTGTCTTGATCAGGAAGTAGATAGTTGATAGTTCAATAAAACTTCATTTACACAATTGTTTTATGTTAGCTACAAGCACAGTAATCAGAGCCACACAGTTTAATTGAATTTCAATCACTTAATACAGTTCTAGTTGCTTGATAGAAGTGACTGAGATGGAAGAGCGTGTTTGTCTGTTTGTTTATTGGCTCATGTGTATAGCCATAGCGTGGATTAAGAACAGAAAGAGTTGTGTGAAAAGTACAAGGAAAACATACATCCTGTGAAGAGATAATTTGTCTAATATCAAAGCTTCGTTATTGTTTCTTTCATATATACCAATCATGAATATACTTTTCTGAGTGCTGATCCATATATTTTCCAGACACCACCATCCATGTACAAAAAGGTATTGATAGGCTTGGGGAAACACCTAGGCTTGCAAAGTATGAAGCAAACTTGTGGAAAAAAAATAAAACACCCTTTTGAACATGCTGAGTAAACACTGGGGAGTTTTCATGAGAAATTGTAGTCTAGAGGAGAACGAGCTTTGTCACCAGAGTAGGGGCTGTTTAATTGTGGGTGGTTGTTAAATGAGAACCTTGAACTGTGTGTCATTAACCGTGAACAATTCAGAGAGTTGGTTGGTTGTTGGGTTGTGAACCCTGAGTTGTTTTAGGTTTGAGTTATGCGCAAACCTAGAACCATGACTTGTTCATGGATAGATTCTCCAGGCTTTGGAGATGATGGACAGGAGTGGTAAAATAAAGCCCAGACATATTTCATGCCAGTACTACCACTCTGCAAGGGCATTTTTGGGATACAGTGAGAGAGGGAACCAAACAAAAGGATATCAAAGTGCACAGAGGTTGAAATAACCTGTATTTCATATGGTTGTCTGTCAGACAAACCATAGGTAAACTCTGGGTAAGGCAACAACTCATATTCTGTGATGTTCTTGCATGTGAACCAGATTATCTTGTGAAACAGGAGCCTTTGTGTTCTTACCATGCCTCAGAAAGCCAGGCACTTATTTGCAACTCTTGATTACTTCATCCCAAATTTTCTAGTGTAAGAATGTCTCAGCTTGACAGAGTACTGGAAGCTGGAATAAAAATGGAAAAATGTGCAGGGGAGCCAATTCTTATGCAAGGTTGCAAAGGGATGGATGTTCCTCTGTGGAAAGGGAGCCGCTTTTCTACTCTGAAAACTGATTCTGGCACGAATATAGAGAAAGGTAATATGATTGTTCACAGAATGACAGAATGGTGATAAATGATCTCGTTTGTTGTGTTTCGAACAACACAGTCTTCGGGCATTCTCCTCAAACAGTCGGTAACCACTGCAAAGCAAGAGTTATTATTATTTTCTTTTTGCTCCAAGGGGGAGACTGGTAATAAAATGGTCATACAAATATAAGAGTAAGGACTATTTTTTTTATATTATTGAGCGCTCTCTTCAGCAGTATTTCATCTTTCTAAAGAACACAATGTACCTTTCTTAGATGATGTTCCCTCTTTTGCTTTCAGTTCTCAATTAGCATAGGGTGGGGAAAGTGTACTCACAGGTATGTGGCCATGAATTAAAGAGGCTCTCTTGCCTCTTTTTCTGCATTTTTATGAAGATTTCTGATTGTGAAATTTGGGTGACAGTGAGACAATCCCTACCACATTCCAGGGGGGAAAGCAGTGAGATCAACCCAAATCTTTGCATAGTAATTGAATATTAGACCTTAGTATAAGGCCAAACAACATGTTTTGTTGAAGATCCATGAGTAGATCTCCTGCTTTCTATTTTTTAAATTATTGTATTTTAGAAAATAATTTAAACTTCATATTTCATCAAAACTCACTCCTGTTGTTTGTATGTTTCCATTTGTAGTCTTGCAATTCTTTGCATGTTTACTCAGAAGTAAGTCCCAGTAGAGATTTGTGTTCAATGGGATATACTCTCAGGCAAGTGTGTCTAGGATTGTAGCATGTTTAAAATATTGCTAGTATTTACAATGGTATTAATCTAGTATTTTCCAGTATTCGGTGAATGGTTCTCATTTCTTTTTCAACTCAGTGCATCCGAGTTGCTAGGTGTACCAGTTTCCCAGTCAAGATCACTTCACCTTGGAGCACTCTTAGAGGTGCCAGGATATTCCCCCTGTGGGCCACCAGCCTCCTGGGAAACTGGGACTTTTTGAGTGGAGGGGAATCTG